AGAAGTTCCGGCATGCCCCCCATCCCACGCAGTCCCAACCCCTGTCTTGTCTGCTGTGTCCAGTGCGTCGTTCCTCTGTCGCTTCTGTCCCTGTGTCGCCGCCCGGGCCCTTGGCTCGATTTCATCAGCGTCCATCGCTGTCCCACACGCGCCTTATCTCTCAATGTGGACAGCGCCCCCCGGTCCCCAGCGACGTAAGGTAGCGTAGGTACGAAGCTCGCAGCGGGCTTGTTTTCTATTTCTTTTCTCGTTTCCATTCCCATTCCTACCTCTCTGCCTGTCACGGCCTTGGTCATGTAGCCACGGCCCCTCCTCAGCCCCCTCCCTCTTCAGCTACTTCCGTTTTTAATCTTTTGTGTTTGTGTTCATAATTACTGGTCCCGCTTACTGCGAGAGTGCGGCTGAGAGAGCTCGTTGTATCACCAAGAGTGCGATCCAACAGGAATGGCATCGTGGCAGTGTCGCTGCGAGAACTGAACCGGCCCCCAACATTCAAGTCCGAGAGGGACGAAATAGCTCCGACGCCCGACAAAACAGCTTCTCAAAAAGCTCAGCATAACCTGTTCGAACCGCCCGCGCCGTCTTCTGGACCAGCGACAGCTCCAGGAAGCTTCCCTACGTATTTGCGACAACTCCAACCCGCATCGGCCAGACAACTCCAACCCGGCGCAAACATGTCAGCGCCAAAAGACGACATCGTCGTCACCCGCGTGGACCGCGACACCCAAGGAAAACCCATCCACGAGGCCACCGAAACAACATCGCTGCTCAGCGCCGGCGCTTCAGGCAGCGAGACCTCCTCCTGCGAAGACACATGGCCCGGCTACGCGGACTTCGCAGACCTGCCCTGGTGGAAAACGCCCTCTGTAGGACACCACCAAACCTTGCCGGCCCGTGCCGCGGGCTGGCTGATCATCATCCCTTCTTCTCTCGTTGCTGACAAGCGTGTTGCGCCAGGTCTACTGGCTCCTCCTCCCATATGCCCTCTTCACCCTCGCCTTTGGAGGCTCCCTTGTGCCTAAGCTTAATCTGTATGTTGTTCGCCAAAGTGACTGTTGTGTGTGAGTTGGTGCGTGTCGCAAAATAGTCGCTAATGCCGTGCGACTGCAGAATCGTGGATTTGGTATGCCAAAGGCACTTTGCGGACCAGACCGTCCTGGACCCGGCATTCGTGTACACGCCCGTTGTGCTCGGGGCAGACAACCCGCAATGCTTCATCCCGGAAGTGAAGAAGCGCGTGTCCATGTTCACGCTGGCCATTAATCTCACCACTGGCATCTTATCCGCCATCACTGCGCCCAGAATGGGTCACCTGTCAGACCGTTACGGCAGGAGGAAGCTGCTCGCCATCGCATCCGTCGGCGGTGTCGTCGCCGAAGCGACCGTCATCCTGTGCGCCAACTTCCCCTGGACCTTCCACTACAACTGGCTGCTCGTCGGCGCCGTCGCAGACGGAATCACAGGCTCCTTCACCGCCGGCAGCGTCCTCATCAACTCTTACACGAGCGACTGCACCCCGCCCTCCAAGCGCGGCGTGCGCATCGGCTATCTCCACGCCTGCCTCTTCACCGGCCTCGCCTTCGGCCCCCTGCTGGCCGGCTACTTCGTCACCTGGACCGGCAGCCTGCTCTCCGTGTTCTACGTCACCATGGGCTGCCACATCGTCTTCATCATATTCGTCGGCTTTGTCGTCCCCGAGTCCCTCAGCATCAAGCGCCAGCTGCGCGCCCGCGAGAAGCACGACCGTGAGCAGGAGGCCAAGGCCGTCGACAACTCCACCTGGGCCTCCATCAAGGCCGCGAACCCCCTGGCGCCCCTCAAGGTCCTCTACCCCCGCGGCCCCGGCACCTCGTCCCGGCTGCGCATCAACCTGCTCGCGCTCTCCTTCACGGACATGATCCTCCTCGGCGCCGCCATGAGCGCCGGCACCGTCCTGCTGCTGTATTCCGAGTCGCCCGAGACGTGGGGCTGGGGAACCCTCGAGAGCTCCCGCTTCATCTCCGCCGTCTCCATGGTCCGCGTGCTGGCGCTGCTCATCGTCCTCCCCACCATCAACTACGTCTTCCGCGTCCGGCCGGCCGCCTACCGCCGGCGCGTCTCGGGCGTGTCCATTGTGGAGTCGAACAACGGCGCCGATACCGTCGACACGTGGATCCTCCGCTTTGCGCTCCTGTCCGACGTCACCGGCTCGCTCGGCTACCTCTTTGCCAGGAGCGAGGCCGTCTTCGTCATGTCCGGCATGGTCACGTCCCTTGGCGGGCTCGGTAGTGCCACGATCCAGGCCGCCATCACGAAGCACGTCCCGGCGGACCAGGTCGGGCAGCTGCTGGGCGCTATCGGTGTCCTGCACTCCTTGGCGAGAGTCCTGGGCCCCATCGCGTTCAACACGCTGTACTACTCAACGGTTGGCACATTCGACCAGGCCATCTTTGTGCTGCTGTCCGCCCTGTTCGGACTCGCTTTGATGGCCGCCTTCATGGTCAAACCTAATGGTAAGTTCTCTGGTAACATTTGACTGGCTGTATCGCTGACGTTTTGCAGTTTACCTCGAGGACAAGTATGAGCATGTCGAAAGCTCGGCACCAAGCAATGCGAGCACCGAGATCCTGGCAGAGGTCGCGGCGGAGGAGGAGTTGATACCCAACAACTGAGACATTTGCATCGGCGGGGGATGATGTACGTTGAGTTGTGTCATTAAGCGGGCAATACCGCAGAGCAAGATACCTTGAAGATAGATGTGTACGCCCATGAGCGCTGAGAGAGGTGGCAGATTTTTCTGTTTAGAGTGGCAGGGTCTACCTGTCTGATACAAGAGTATCACCGATACCACAATACACATTTCCTTTAGTTTATTATAAAAAATACCCCCATAAGTGAGATAGGAGTTGAGCCTGAGGTGAGCAGTGAGATGGGCTTTGTGCTAGCCTGTTGCTTGGCAAGCTGTCACAACCGCCCTCACATCAACAATGAATACCCCAAACTCGTGTGGTTTGTGATATGTGATAACGAGTTTTCATCGCACGAGACACAGGCAACTCAAGTGAAAACTTTCTCATGCCTCATTTCTCAGTAGACCTCGCATCTCACGAGGTTTCACTGTGAAGCTAACGATCCAGCAGGTCTGCTTTCGGCATCATTTGCAAACATGAAAGCGTCCCTCTAGGGTATTTCCAAAGAAAGCAAACCCCCATCGAAGTTGCCAAGATGTTGCCGGTGGTGACATCTTTGTGCCTCGGAAATTTGTTTGACGCTCACTTACCCCTGCGGACATGAGCCACGCTTCATAAAGGCTGAAGCCATTCCCTTCAATGACCTTTCTCGCGAGCTTTTCTTCAGTGATTGGGAAGGGAGTCTCGCCCGCGGTCATCACTGACACCAGGAAACAGTCAAGATGGTACGTCAACCAACACCCCAAAATCTCACTCACCATACTCACACACCACAGAACCTCCCAGCCCTCATCCTCCTGCTCCTCCACGCAGCTCTCACCACCGCATCCCCCATCCTCTCTTCCCCAACCGCCTACGAAGCCGCCAAAGCCCTCCTCGAGGAAGGCCTCTCCCTCACAACCCTCCACCAAAACAACACCCACCTCCTCACCTCGCGCCAGGCCTCGCCCATCCCAGGCCTCCCCGCCCCCTCGCGTTCCTGGACCTGCTACCGCGGCGGCGACTCCTCGCACGGCGTGCTGCAGGCCATGCACGTCGTCTTCAACACCCTCTTCGGCGCGCCGCGTCTCAGCGCCGGGCCCAACCAGTGCCACGTCGCCGTGTGCGGCGCCTTCCACCTGTCGTGGTGCAACCTGGGCGTCGAAGCCGGGGATGAGGAAGCCGGCGCGCGGGACATGGCCGTCGCACAGGACCCCGGGAAGGGCACGATGTGCATGGCAGCCGTAGATGGGCCCGGGTTCGATCCGCACAAGTTTTACTACTGGGGGCGGGTCGATGCGGTTTGGACGCCGTGGTATGGGGGTGGGAGTACGGTCAAGACGTGTTAGACTGCCTTGTTGGGAAAATGGAGGTTGGCTTCGAGTTGTAGATATTGCATGGCTGTGTACAGCTGTAATGGGGATGACCCTTTCAACATGGCCCGGGGGGCTAACGGGAAACACAAGCGTCTCTTCAGGGAATAACCCCTCCTGGTAGCTATCAAACCCTGATTAAGTTAACGACATGTATGCCCATACACTCAATTCTCAGGGCACGTTTGCAAGTCAGACTGCTTGCTGTTCCCATGTCTCGTCCTCGCTCTCGTTCACGTTCCCGTTTCCGTTGTCGTCATCTCTCTCGCCAGCTGCCAAACGGTGTTCGGGCCCGGTTCGGCTCGGTTCCGGTGGCGACCTCGGAAAACCCGGATGCCTGCTCCAGCAACGTTGGAGGAAGACCCCCACGCCCCCGCACTCGCAGCCCTACATGGACACAAACTTGATCCTCGTGTTCATCATCCGGCATGGTGTAGTGGTTAACATACTCCGCTTTCACCGGAGAGCTCCGAGTTCGATTCTCGGTGTCGGAAAAGCCGTTTCTTTTTGCGATTTTTGACAATGTCTTACTTATATCGAGCTGTGGGTAACTGTGTCACTCGCTAGAGGACCATCGTTCTTTTGCCCATTTCAGCGCCAAAACGGCCAGAGCGCTGTTGCTAAAGAAGCTTGTGGACGCAGTTATTTGTTACGCATGTGCAGAGGTACACAGTCCACATGAATATGGACGCGCAACAGACGTCAGAAGCCGAAAAGACACTTTTGCGATCGAACGAAAAAAGCTTTTGTGAATAAGACTTTATTTCATTGCCTCCTGTGATCGGTTATTGAAACTCGCTGACCTTTGCGGTCATAGTCGTAGATCACCAGCCAGGCTAAAGCTCCCGAAGATGATAGATCACACTTTCGCATACCCAGGTTACGAGTTCTATTCCGAGTCTTTACATGGTGGTAACCTTTCCAGCAAGGCCCTTGAACCAATAACTGCACGCCTACCTTGACGAGCTCGTGACAATGTTCACTCAATCCCGCGGCTCAAGTCAGCCACCGGCAGCGGGTGTCCATAGAGACGCATCGCCTCCATCCGCTCCTCGTCCGTCTCATCCGTCACGCGCGGCTCCCGCCCTCCAATATGGGTGTCATACCAGTCACTGTACGGTCCGCTGTTGACATCATTGAGATACTCGCCGGTGTCAACATTGATGATCCGAACGCGGGACCTCACCCTCCAATGCTGGTAGTTCTCCTCGATCCACTGCGTCCAGTCAAGGAGGTCACGCGTGAGGATGTCGAGGGCTTGTAGCGCTGGATGATTGACCACCAGATCATGGCTCCAGAACTCGCGGAGTCGGAGATCCAGCGATCTGGAACCACTTTTCACTCTCAGGTAGCGGACCGAGGCCTTTTCGGGATTGTGAATGATGTTGAAGCCGTCTATAAGAATGGTGTCCAGATTCATGTTTGCCCAGATATATCGCGAATCCGGGTCGGTGATGTAATTGAAGGCTTTCCTGTAACTTGAGAAACTGCGCGACTCTCTGCATGCCTGGATGACGGCAGGCACAGGTGTCGGTGATCTCAATCGTGAGCGCCTTTCAGTGATGGAAAGAATCCGGGGCCATGCCGCCGATTGCCATATTTGAATACGAATTTCGGTGGGCAGCAGAGGAAAGAGGACAAACGCCATCATTGAGAATCATGGCCGATGTGTTCCGGTAGGTGCGTTCAAATAAACATGCCACAAAGAGTCGGGTCATGCAGGTGAAGTGAGAATGGGTCACACAATTCAAAAATGATTCCCCGTGCTGGGCTAACCGTCTTGGAGCAATACCCCCTGTCATCGTCTCGCGGCGCAGGCGCTGAACAGGCAACAGCATTAACCAGTGAGTGCCGCATTATTTTACCTCATTATATCTGATGAGCCTTTTCTTCCAACTTTTCTTTTTCTTTTACTTTTGGCTGGAAATCAGAAGGCAAAAGCCTGCATTACATAGGTGTGATCTACAATGCCTACGTGAAAATTTGCAGAGATTATTTTGGTTTCACCCCGCGCTATTTATGTGGCCCAGAAAATAGTGGTAGAGTTTGGCTCTCAACTTTAACTTCGAATCAAGCCGTCACACTAGAATCTCTTGTGTCGGAATGAGATTTCGGTTTATCATTCTGAATGTCTTTTGGCCAGCCTTGTCAATTTGCAATATCGGACTTGGCAGAAACAGAGTCCAGAAGTGCTCCTTTTTATTGCTAACGAACAATTCAACTCTCGAATGATGATTGTTCTAGCGACTAACAACATGAATGCGATATCGGAAGCATATCTTTTAATGACAGTGTCATATTACCTCTTATTAGTATAAACAGGATACCAGACGCACGAACCGCTAATCGAAGGAATCTTTACACGGGTTTCTTTTAACTGCATGTAAGTAGAAGTAAGCTGCCCATATGCCTCTCGTTTGGCTTGGCTAAATGTCACAGCTTGACGTTGAGCGGATAAACTTTTGTCTTTCGCATCTAACGGCCAACATTCATGAAGCACGAGATTTCCAACGGGGCTACTGGTTTAAGGACGACCTTCCTCAAGCTATTGACGAGGCGGGGCTTTCAGTCCGAGAACCCGCAATTGCGGTAGGTAGGATTGAGAACCTGATATCATTTCTTGTCTTCTACTCCTCTGATATTTCCTCAAAGTAAAGCGTCATTCCAACATGAACATCGAGCGAGGGCTGTGCCAGCGAAAATCCTAATACTGCGGTTCCTGCAACGGCTTGATTAACAGCAACGCGAGCCATTCAGGCTCTCAATTCGACTTCGCAGTCTGATTTTAGGCTGGTTAGCATGTAATCAGAAGGTCATACCACGATGGAAGGGGGATGCGGGTGTCTTCCACTGAGACCACTGAACATTATGTATCCTAGCGTACATGTGTCTTGGCGGGGGGTGAAAAGAAAACGAAGATCTGCTGTGAATACCACTATCGACTTTGAGGCATGTGTGCAGCTTTCTCTTTATTACATTTATCTTCAACTGAGATGACCCTTGGCATAAGTCCCAGTAATAATGCTCTATCAGCGCTCTGGGGGCCAGGAAGCTACTAGGGGACTGACACTGGGTGTGTCAAACCTGACCATGTAATCAATGACGATATCGACGGCTACAGATACAATCTTATTCTTCTCGCTCCTCCTATCCCTCTTAAAGAAATTCCTTTTTGGATATCCCGTTAACGTTAACCCAACGACCGCGTATGAGTAGCTACAGGCCAATAGTTGTGCTAGCGAGCTAATGCGGGATACCTTGAGCGAAAAACAAGACTTTAGAAGTCGCACTGCCAACCGTTGATGCTAACACCGCCAAGGCCGCTTGAGATGCAGGTACTGATTTCCTTGCAACCGTCAGAGGGAACTTCAATGCTCTCTCCCTTGTAGTTCGTGATCGTGGCTATAGGAGGATTAGTCAGTATATGGACGCGTTCACGAATCAGACGTCATGGCTCATCACCGCGAAACTTACCGCTTTTAATGTCAGTGCCGTAGTTGCAACCATCGGTATTAGCCGAGTGCAAAACGACTTTGTAACCAGACACCTCGCATGAGCTGTCAAAGCTTCCTTGAAGTCTGCAATAGGTTTTGGGCGTACGGTCGGCCCAATCGTCGACTGGTGGTCCGTCCCAGTACCAGACGTCGAAGGTGAGACCAGCAGTGCCGCCAGCTGTCTCCGACGCGAACACAGCGATGGCCGCAAGGCTACCCTGGGCGAGGAGGGAAGAGAGAAGAATGGCGCTGGCCTTCATTCTGAGTATCGAAGCGTTGGGATTGTGATCTGAATAAGGGGGTTGTGAGTGATTGCAGATGGAGGTTATAATGTCTGATGAGACTGACAGCCTTGAGTGAGGAGACTGGCACGGTTTATATACTTGGTTCACTTCACAACTTGAAGTGTCTCTTAGCTGGATCAAAATCAAATGGGACTTTGGTGGTGGGACTTACGTGAACTCACTCACGATCTTGTTCGCGGAGACACAGGCGTTAGCTTCGTGACGTAGAAGACATCCTTGAACGATATTTTACGAACTATCCCTTCATGGCAAGATCTTCGCTAGCTCATGACGATGGCTTGTTGGCTCGAAAGATCAACAGGATAGAATGCGTACTCTTGTTGGTGATTTGTGGGTTTAACCCTTGCATGTTGGTGCAAGAGGTGCTGCGCCTGGCAGAATCCGCCCAGCGATTCTCGGATTTCAGCCTGGCCCCCAAATTGCAAAAGCTTCTAACAAGGTACTGAGCCCTGCGTATCATGCCACTGCCCTTGGAAGTCTTGCCAGATTAAACTTCCTAGAGTTGGAACACCCCGTAAGGAACCCGCAAGCTCAGTAGGGCTTGAGAATCTCCGCATGCCGTTCACGTTAGTGCGTTGATCAAGCCTAATTGATGAACTTATGGCGTTCACAAGGTAGAATTGCACTGCCTATTAACCTCCCTTATGTGAGTAAAAGCTGCGTTTCGGGGCTGCGAGTGAAACCCACGCCGATGTGGTGACCTGGCTCTGTGGCACACTGGCAAACTCAGAGTCCTTGGAGATCACGGCTGGATGGCGGTGAAGCGTTTAGGGCCACGTTGCTGGCTGAGATTCACAACAACATTGTTCAGTCTGATATTGGCAAAAGTTTAACAAGTGAGTAGTGATGTTGTCTCGCCGTTCACCATATAGATTTGGAAATTTCCTATGTAGCTCTTGCACAATCAACTAAACACATATGTTAGAGGTGAGTTAGAGGTGACTTGGTTGACTCTCCAATCTTTGAGATTCTGTGTCATGCGCTCAATTAAAAAGACCATTTAATTGACTTCTTGGCAAAGCTTTCAAGCACGTCAATACGTTCCAGGTGCGCTTGACCTCAAGTCTTGCGTAGAGACGATGTGTCTTTAACGTCGGGTGTCTTAATTAGTACAGATTCGCACAGAAGCTCCATTGACTCGCCCGGATTGGTTGCTGTGTGGCCGTTCTATGCGCCCAAATGCGCATTTGCGATGCCGCATGACCTAATGCGACCATAGATCAATACCCATGAAGGGAAAAACAACTGCAGCTCATGCGAACCGCCAACCCCAACGTCAGTTGCTAATAATAGTATTGCGCAGCCACAACCCTTCGACGGTACTTTTGGGCTGTCGCTAAACTGTCACGTGTTGAGATCGGGGGCTCTCTCGTTGGCTGTTCTGGTTTAAACGCACCGTTGGCCAAGTCCGGTCTTTTGTGGTACACCTCCACCACAGCTCACATCACATCGGACCATACTCGACAAATCAGCCAGGATGCCCGTCAATCCTCAGATCAAATCTGCCTTCGTCAATGTACTACCGCGCGAGGTCCGTGATTCCATATATGTCGAGCTCTGGCGCTCCTGTGGTCTCCGTCAACATATTCTATATCATGGAGAACCAGAGTACCATCACTTCTGCCATTGGCCGTGCTTTATCGAGTTCGATGTTCAGGATCCATTGCAAAAAGAGCTTGAAGCGGTGAGAGTCCGCCTCGGCGTTCCCTTAGGCGAGGATATCTCCCGTCACAGTTGCCCTGGAATCGGGAGGCCTTATGCCAGATACTTGCAATCTCCATGGATGAACCACTGGCCTTGTGGCGAGGTTGCCTATCAGAAGCACGGCAAGGGGGGTTTTCCGGGCTTTGGTACTTCAGGGTTTACTTGTTGGAAAAAAGGCTGCAGTGGCTATGAAAACAACGACTGGTCAAACCCATATCTTTCCATGCTCTTGTTGTGTAAGACCGTGTGAGTTGCCCCACCTATCAGAGAACCATTCAATACTAACGAACGTAGATCGGAAGAGTGCCTGCAGTCCATCTACAGGTCGACAACATTCATCTTCACCGACATGCCGACTATGCAGATGTTTTTCGGGTATTGCGAGCTTCACCCAATCGTAAAAACCTTCCCAAAAATAGGCACCACACCACCAGCCTTCTTCAAGTACGCTCGAAACGTGGAACTCTCGTTTGGTCCAGACTTTCCCCTGCAGCTACTGTGTGCGAATTTCGATCTTCCCGGAATTCCTCGCCGCCACGATGTCTACGATTTCCACTGGTTGCGCCTTGACCGATTCGAGAACCTCCAGACCTTCAACATATGGATCGCTTCACGGTGTAGCTCGAACCGTACCCCTTCAAAGTACGATGCTCTCTGTGGCATCAAGGAATTTGATACAAAGAGTTTGAGAGATCGTCTTGCGCCATTCAGCTTGATTGGCTCAGTCACGATAAGCACACCCCTCAGCTCACGCATAGCACCAGAAGAGGGTTGTGTGGAAGACGTCGCATTGCCTGGCATTCGACTTTACAAACGAGGGTCCGGGGATAAATTCCATCCAATCTTGGGAACGGTCAACCCAGGAGGCATGTACGACGATGTAATCCACACTACAACTGAGATGTATGAGCACTTGGTTTCTTTCCGACGTCTACTTTGGCTAACATTTTGCCTCAAATAGGGAAATTCGGCTTGGTTATGACGGAACCAATTACATTTTGATGAAGGATGGCTGAATGCGGCTACTAGTCGTAAGTTCGGTCAGTCTACAATGTGTTTTCTGTTTCGGAAGTTGTGGGAAATTGCCTCCGTTCAGGATGTAGATAGTTGCTAGCTTTTCTCTTAAAGAGGGTCAAACTTTTGCATAAGACGTATGTTTCGGTCGAAGCCGTATAGTATATCTTCTTCTCGTCATCTCGGCCAGCTCTTAACACACACATGCACACACGCGCACGCGCGCATACTCACCCACACCATACGCAAGACTATCAGGCGTGAATACTCATAGCACTAGAGTGTCAGTGCTTTGATTCATTATAAGCCAGCTCCCTAGCACCAAAAACAAAATGATATTCAGATCTGAAGTACCCAATATTCGCGCACGGTGGAACCTTCAGGTGCATGCGTTACTTCTTAAACGGGGACATGTAACGGTTCATTTTCACAGAGATTCACTTGCAATTAGGACTTGATCATAGAAGACAACAGAGGATAGATTATGAAGTCTCTTGGAGGTATCTAATATACTTCCTTTTATAGTTTTTCCTCACTCAGCTGACATAAGCTGTTCCTAGCTAAAGGCTATCAACAAAGATCTAGGTTCAGCCTGTAGATGTAACGCGTCGTTAGGATCTAACTGCTTCATCCCGGCTGCCTCGTGCAAAGCCCTCATTCTTACAGTCTCGTACACAGTCCTCAATTTCCCCAAACTCTGGGACTATCTCAAATCCATTCATATTCATTTTTTGTCGGGATAAAACTCATACCGCAAGCAACCGGCTTCAATCTTGCCTCCAGTTCCGCCGTTGTTGCCTGTGAGGGTGACACTATTAGCATACAAAGCTATGCGAATAGTTGAAGGGTACAAGACATACAAGATAGAAAGTTGTCTCTCATGATACTCTCACAGGTGATGCTCTTATCACCTTCAATAGGAAACTCAGCGCTTTGCTCAACGGCGTCCTTGCAACCGTTGATCCAAGTGATTCTCCAGTTGCCTCGTTCCGGTGCGCGCCGGCCATACCAGTGGATGTCTCCATCTCCCTCCTTCATTTTCTTGTTTCTTGCTTCAAGGCTGCAACCTATGAAAGACCACCGTTTCTGAGCTTTGCCATTCACGTCGAGGTGTTCGTATTGCTTATTGCACTCTCGTACACCGAGTGTCGGCTTCGGGGCAGGTTCCGGGGCAGGTTCTGGGGAAGGTTCAGGAGCAGGTTCCGGGGCAGGTTCTGCCATCTTCTCCACCTCCCATGTGAAGTTGCCGCAGCCCACGTCAATAGACGCCTTTCTGAACATGCGGACTCCTGCCGAGCCATGATTTGATCCACCTAACATGAGAATCTTTGTCAGTTGATCCTTGGTCACCAAGTATTGAAGACTGGGAGTGCTCACAGTTGCTCTTGACAAGCTTATCCCATGCACTTCTGCAGACGTCTTCGTCGTTTACCTGGCATTCGTCATCAAGAGGAAGAAATCACAGAAATATGGTGTAATCTTGGTAATTATCGATATTCTCCGGTGGTGTTCTTCGCACAAACCCTCTTTTCGTCTGTTGCTGGGTTGCCAAGGCGGCCTTCAGGCGAGGGATCTCATTACCACTAATATCATACGGTGTAGGTCCTTGCGGTGCGCGCCTATATTATTCATTACCCTTTCGCAAAATGTCTTCGAAGTGTTCTCCAGAAAGAACTTGCTGGGAACATTCGTGAGCTTGCCGGGACATTCGATGCTGATATCGGGCTGTGGAGGCTGTTGGGGCTCTTCTTTGATATTCTTTAACGCATCGAGGACGGCCTGCTCAAAGACGACGTCGGAAATGGTGACTTGGGTAACAACACAAGGGAAGCAGTTGCACCCCTTACTTCTGCCCTTTTACAGGTCAGTATATTCGGGGGCTTTTTGGGACCTAAGACATTGTCTAAGGGGAGAGAGTTTTGAACCCGACCGTTTTGACTCACTTCAGAACAAGCCCAATCAACCAAGCCTGTAACCTTGGGCTCTTCAACCCTGACACTGGTCGGTTTGCAGTCTCCGTCGCATGATGGCTGTGATTGATCTGTCAGTAAGAGATGGGTATCGAAACTGGACTTGGATGCCTTACCTGAGTTCCTGCAGAACAGCTGCTGCTTGAGGTTGAAGTGCTCCTGGTGGATGTTTTGGTCTTGGTAACCCTGTGGATGCTCTCCTTCGGGATCTCATTTGCGTTGGGGATTGCCTTGCCGTTTTGGATATGTCCCCAAACCCAGGCCCAAAACGAGCCGGCTGTGATCGTAGAGCTCCCCCAGACAGCTGCATTTGCCGCTGCTTCGCCGCCTGAAAGAGCTGCACCTATAGCTTCGGCTTCTTCCTCTGATGAAAAGATGATCGTCTCTTCCAGGGCAGACTCAGCTCCACCATCGGCCTCGCCACCGTCAATCTAGCCGTCCTCGCTTCCTGGGCCACTTTCATATCCCGAGTCGTGCTCCTCCGTCAAGACTTGATCTGTGAGAGGACGCGCAAAGCTGTTCCTGAGCTCTGTGTCGGCGGCTACACGTTGTACGTAATCGGCCAAGCCGCAAGCTGGTCCCCCCTGACGCTTGTAGAACACGTTTCGAGGCTGTCTCCTGTGCTTTGCAGCACAGGCAGTTACCTCCTTCGCTATCGCCTCCAACTTAGCCTTGAGTCCGGGGCTCAGCAGGATGTTCAGACCGCCGGCGGCATTCTTCGATGCAGTGACAGCATTCGTGACGGTCGCGACCGCTGTCCCTCCCGAACCAACAGACGTGACAATTGTTATCGCAATGTACTGAGAGTTGTGTCCTATCCACTAGGCAAGTTGCGTGTCAACGAAAGAGTCACAAAGGAGAGAGACGGGCAACCTCACCTTTGTTGTACCTTGTTCCAACGTAAGATATCTCGTATGTGCTTCTATTTAACCTGGTCTGTAGTCGATCCACGAGAACCGATTAGCTGCTGCAGTATAATGAAAATCATAGGTCAGATAAGGGCATGTTGAAGAAAAGAATACAAATAGTATGTAAATTGACGAACGGGATGTCATTTGAAGATTCTGATGGGCTTACTTACGTAGGTTCAGCCCCAGGGGGGTTGACTCCAATTTGACCACTCTTAGTCGGCCCAATGGCGGCAACCACGACACTGACATGAAGTCATTAGCATCTGGAATTGTTTCCTTCGAAAGGCCTGAGGAAGTGTATAATACCGGCCAGCCGCAGGATCCACTGTTTGTCGGGCAGTCAAGTGACCTTCGTTGGTGACGCTAGCCAAGGGTTGATCATGAAGCTACGTAGCTGCCCCCGCATTTGACAGCAGACCGAGAACAACAAGAGTGTACGGTTTCATAGTTGAAGGGTGAATAGCTGTAAGACAAGAAGTAATAGCAATAGATTGAAAGTACTTTTGAATGGAGCTTCACAAAAGCCTTTGTAACTGACTTCTACGAGAAAGATGAGATGGTCAGGAAGCTTGTTCCATGACTCCTACGATGTTAGCCGCCGGACTAGATATAACTTACACCTAGGCAACATTTAGTAGCGGACAAGCTATCACCAATGTCCCGCGAATCTTCTCAGCAGACCTCACGGACGAGGATTTGCCGTCTGACCCCCATTGCTCTGGGAGCTGTATTCTATTTTGATTATCGTGTTGGAATCTAGCCTCAGACCCCACGCCAACAAGGCAACGTCAATATTGATGCCAAGCTCAACATGTTGACCGAAGCAACCAACAGAGCCCTCGGAGTCAGTCAAGATTCCCTGAATAATGGCCCAGCCACTCCAGAGTCGGATGATTTTCAATCAAAGCCGCATCGGCGCAGCACGCCGGTAACTACCTTGGGACCGATAGCCCCCATCATTGTCACTCCGGCCCACCTCCGGGTCGCAAGTACGGGCCAACAGACCCTATGAGAGCCTTCACTTTCTAATAGACTGTAACGGAATTGATTCTCAGACCCCAATTCACGATTGAGAGTTGTTCCAACATTCATTTCATTGAGTCAACAGTCAGCATGCGCCCTCTTCAAATCCTCATTCTTGTCTTGCAAGGCTCGCTTGCCGCTGAAGCAGCTAGCTGGACGTTGCACGGATCTTGTTTTAAGTCGGTGATCCGATCTACTCGCCGAATGATTATGTCTCAGCGAGCTATTTGATTTGATTTTGCCTTGACTTTGATATGTAGCCAGGTAAAGACTGCCTACTAACGAGCACTTAGACAGAAAAGAAGTCTTCGAGAACGGCAATCCATCAAAGAAGATCACTGTGGACGACAAGGAATTGGAGAATGCCATTCTTAAAGGCGTCGAGGACGCAAAGGCCTGGGCGGCAGCCGCCGCTTCCCACATTAAAGACTCACTGAGCAAAAACCCCTTGAAGGGTCGGACTGTCAAAACTGCTTTAGAACCCCTTCTTGTGAAGGATGACTATAACAAAGCCGCAGGCGACGTCAAGTGTAAGTTGCTTCCCAGACAGCATTATGTTTCTTCTTCGAGTTTCGTGACGCAATAGTCTACAGCATAGGGCCTCAACCTGACTTTCGAAACACCTGTAGCGAAATTCGACAACATCGCCACCATGAAAGGCCCCGTCGGTAGGGAGGGTAACGAAAATGGGAGATATGAAAAGTCTTCAGCTTGGGCAGCTCTCAAAAAGTCGGACGACCACCACTTCAACTTCGTAAGTTTCGTCTACATCTCATGTCAGCATCAAACAGAACCCGAGTCTTGAAACATTGAGACATACTTGTTCTTTTCACATGCCGTGATCGTTTGAGACTAAGTCCGCTACCAGATCATCACCTGCCGACCAGACATCACTTGGGTCCCTGACCGAAACGAACTCAACCCCTTGCCAGTTCCATGGGACAATGTCCGACAAAATCAGCTCACGAACCCCCACGACTTTGTCAATTTTCTCAAAGAGGAAGAAGCGCTAGGATACTGGGGTAAGATAGACCACAATCAAGTAAAAGTCAAGGCCGTTACCGCGCGCGATCTGAATACGCCAACCGGCGAGCGTTTGAGAATCCCCGAATCGATCAATTTTCACCCCCTGTGGATCAAATTCCAGCGGATCAGGGGATTTGTTGACTGGACGCAGGAAACGGTCAATAAAGTCACAGCGAAAACTGCCCCTGATGCGTTTCAACAGCTAAGCAAGGAGAGAAAAAAAGGATATTCGCCCAGTGGATGGCTTGCTTCAAGACTGCTTCGCAACAGACGTTTTGCACGAGGTAGGCTCTCTTACTAAGAGCAATCGTTTCCTCAGTCTCAATTGCTTACTTAACGCTCCAGTTCTTTCATCTGACGTCCTTTGGAGCCATGTTTGACGACATGGATCTCGCTTATGGATGGGCTAATAACGTCAAGGCCAAGAATCGTGAGAACCCCGACTTATATTCTCTCATTGCCGCGGTTATTCATTTGCTCTACAAAGAAGGGACAAACTACAAGGTGACGGCGGAGGGCCATGTAAAAGTCAAGGCTCCCTGATCGTCGTCATGGATATGTCAATCGCAGAAAATTGCCATTAAGTAGCAAGCTGAGCACATGCGAGGGATGTAGTCGCATGGATGCCTATTGTTGAGACTGCGCTGCACTGCTCAAGGCGAGGATAGCCTATTGTTCGATGAGAATTAAGAAGTTTGGTTTGAGATCTTCTTAAGATGCTTGAAAGTTAAATCCAGAAAAGAACAAGTACAAACACACAGAAACATGTCTCTGTTTTTTCTGCAGTAAGCTGTGCAGTCTCGCCCGCCTGCGTTCTCAATTTAGTGAAATCACAAACTATAGATGACATGTTATGCAGAGTTTTACTATCCCGGCGAATACTTCCAGCTGGCCGGGCGGACTATTACTTATAGCTTTTACCTACGTAGTGGCTCTAGCTCTTATTACTATTATTCTCATTAACGTATTTCTTGTTGTTGTAGTTGTTATTGTGGTCGTCTTTAGTATCGTTATTAGCATTATCTCTTTTCTTTTGTCAAAAATGACGTACGCTACTACTTTCCTCTTATCCTATCCGCCCGGTTAGCTAGAAGTATCCACCAAGATAGCAAAAGTTGTTACGCAAGACTGCGAGTTTTCTTTTGTGGCGAATGAGCTATCTAATGATGTTATAGATATCGCAACATAGCACAAGTCAGAAGACGGCTACCATTCAAAAGCATAGCGTTCCCTGCACGTAGCAGACCGCAACTGCCTAGAGTCCAACCGCATCCCGAAAGTCCGCAAAATACTCACCGACGGCATGGGATGGAAATGACTGGCTGCTGTTCAAGTTGCCATTCTCGCCTAGACATGCTTTTTGTCCTGCATTATTCTTGACTCAACTCTTGCTGCCTTCCATCACAATTAGGCTATTCATCAAAAAGTCTATTTACCCAATAAAAACGGTTTCCAGTCAATACAAGAGCTCAATGAATTGAGTCTTTGAGCAAGGATGACAACATCGCCCATCGTTCTCTACGCAACTCAACCCTTCGCTCTCGGTTGACTACCGTCTGAGCCCATTGGCCCATCGCCGGCGGGATACTTTTCCAACAGGTAGATGGACAGGGATGCTCTCAACTCCCACCAACTTGGCATCTGCCCCCCAGTTCATCTCATACCTGCTCCCCCCACGTTCATCCTAGGATGCCCGCATCTGCGTCCCCAGCCCTACGCCAGCGACTCAGGCAACATTCGGGTTTTTTAAAGTTCGCGATGGAGGCTTTTCAGATTGCTGAAACTCATGTCAGTTATATTGCGGCTGGCTCATTCACTATGTGGGATGCGGTAAAGGTGGAGTAAATGCGAGTATGCAAGCTGCCTGTGGTCCGGAGAGGTGATACACGGTGCGGGTTTAGAGGAAAGTGGCCTTCCATGCAATCGGGCACGCGGACTTTGGGTTTTCCTCTGCGGACTGCTTCGCCTTGGAGTCTAGCTACTGATCTGTGGATACAACCGCTGCGGACCTACGATTTGACCTACGGGGAGTTTGGGCTCGGAGAGATCTGCTGGTGGATAAAAAAAACTATAAGACTGTCCAGTCTCTTCCTATGTTGCTCTCAACCATTGACCCCATCCACTCACCAAGTCTCATCTCAACTCAACAAACCCTTCCAACCACAAACCGCCCCTAAACCAACCGCCAAAATGCAGTTCTCTACCCTCCTCACTGTCTTCGCTTCCGTTGCCGCCGTCAGCGCCATCGCCGCCCCCAAGCCTCTGACCCCGGCCCAGTGCGCTGCCAACAACCTGAAGCACTGCAACAACTCCAACGAGCCCTGCCCCGTCGGCTGCTTCTGCCCGTGAGTAAACCCCTGGAGAGGTGGAGCGTAGATTTGAAAGACCATGGAAACTGACACGTTGATAGCGGCGGAAACCTGCCCGAGGGAGGCTGCTGCGCCGGCAGCTGCTAAACGGCCACGCATCTCTGAGTGGGATGATGGGCGAGAGGATGACGCGGTGACCTGGAATTAGGGGCAGTTTAGTTGCAATACATACCATTCATCGTGACCCAAAGAACGCTCAACACCCCTCAGCAGTAACAATTGTGAAGGCAAAACATCATAATGCATTCATCCCTCATACCCAAAGCACTTCTACAACCCCTTCATAAACTCCCCGAACGAGATAGGTTTCCTGACCGCATTATTCAATCCTTCATGGTACGTTACCCAGACCTTGATATCCTCCTTCGTCTCCTCCCTCTGCTTCTTCCTCTTGGTTCCGTTCGGATCCACTTCGCCTAGAGGCCGCGTCGGGATGATCCTCCCGAAAAAGTCCTTCTTCACGCTCTTCTCGAGGGCCTTCTCCTGCTCTTTGATGATGTTTTCCTTGTCAACCTTCACAGGGGCCTCCTCATGTCCCATGGGGTTGCCCGCTTTGAAGCGCGCCTGTCGCGCGGCCGCCTCTCGGAGAATGACGGTCTTTTGGAGTTCTTGATCGAGGCATTGGCGGACGGCATAGCGTGTTGGGGCGGAGCTGGAGAGGAGAAGGCCTCCTGCTGTTTCGTATACCGCAAGTGCGTCAAGGTCACTGAGGATACGTTAGTGTGAACTTGTACGCGAGGGGACGGATGATGACTTACGGCTCCATGCGGTACACCCACTGAGGCCCCCTGTTCACCAACGAATCCGTCTCAATCTTGCCCTTTTGCATTTCGATACCGACCTCCGCCATAATCTCCGCGGCGCGTTTGACCATGGCCTTCTCCGTATCCTTTCGTACACTTGCTGTGCTCGTGCCGCTGCCGCCAATAACGACAGGCTTGACGTCTGGTGATACCATGCGAACAAGATACGGTAGAAAGTCTGTCGCGACATCTTCCGGGCTTCGGAAAGACCTCCCCAACGTAGGGGCAAGCTGCGCCTGGATGGCCTGTAGCATAGACTTGTTCTCCTTCAATGCCTGGTGAGCAGCATAGTCCGCTTGAGGACCAGAAAATGGCACGGGTGGCTCGTCGTTCTCCTGTGCATCTGCACCCCATTTCTTGTCGTATCCCATGTTGACTTGATACTTTTTCGACGAGGCAAAGAGTGAGTGGCATGCAAGGATAGGCTGGCTTAGATATGGCGCCAGCTCCCAGTCCTGGCTGAAAAAGGTTCTTGACGAACAAGTGTCCAGAAAGTGCATCCAATCGTAGGCTTCGTTGGGCTTGGACAAGAACGAGTCGTCGTTGAATTCGCGGTTGGGGTACTCGAGGAAGATGTCAGTCATGATACGGTCGACTTCGCCGCTGGTGTCAATCATGTGTCGCAAACGTTCCATGGCGTTCTTCTTGTGGTACTCCGCAAAACCCAGCTGGGCCTTGGGCTGCTCATGCTTGTGCTTGAGATGCGATGTGCTGTCCAAAGCTTGCTTCGGGAAGCCGCCGCCTTCCTGGAAGATTCGTGACACGATGTCTTTCGTGCTTCCTCGTCCAAGACCCCTTGCTCCGCCGGCGCCGTTTGTAAGATCGTGCATAACGTTCTTCTCGAGCCATTGCCTTGTCAACTTGTCGTTGAAGCTCGCAGCAGCCTTGAAACGTCCAGCAACCCACTCGCCAACAACCATGACACCACGTAGATCGCCTTCAGCTCCGCTCTCGGCTCCTCGTTTCGCATCGATGCCACTTGTCATACCCCAAGCGGCTTCGCAGATCTTGCGAGCAGCATCTTTCTCACAGGGAACGCCCTCCTTGTCGAAGACCGCCTTCAATCGCGTGACAACAGCATCGATGGTGGGCTTTCCAACATGGATAATCTCAGCCATACCTGACTGTCGGAGAGGTCTCAGTGCCGGAGCATAGACGTCGTTGCAGATGAGAATAAGCGGTCTCATCAAACGAAAGTCGTCGCCCTTCTTCTTCTTGCGGTTGTTGTTCACGACTCCTGAGCCGTTCTTCTGGTCCAACAAAACGAGATCGATAAGGGCTTTGACGAACCCTCCCTCCCCTGAAGCTCCAGCTCCGCCGACTACACCGTCCACCTCATCGACAATCACACATGCCGGTTTTGCAACCTTTTGCTGCTGTTCGCCATCCTTGGTCTTGACGTTCTCGACCGTCTTGACACTTTCGGTTCCTAGAGAGGTCCGGATGCGGTTCTTGACGACGTCTTTGCTTCGGTCGTCACTGGCATTGATCTCCATCACATCGTATCCTGCTTGCCGCGCGCACACATGCGCCAGCGTTGTCTTTCCAAGACCAGGGGGGCCCGTCAACATGAGAATCTTCTTGTGTGGCTTTTCCTCCTCCTGCTGACCCTGCTTCGCGCCTGGCCGTCTCGAGATGGGCGCCTTCTTTGCGATACCAGGGAAGACGATCGGATCCCATCGCTTGAGCCAGCGCAGGACCATGCGGTTGGTGCCATCGTCACCGCAGAGATCTAGGAAGTTCTTGGCTCTGTACTTCTCGGTCCAGAGGAGAGTCTTCTTCTGATGCTTGCCGACCACTGGCTCCTCCACTGACCGAACCGGCACGTCGTTCTCTTTCCTTTGCGGCTTTGGCTTTTCCGCGGCCTCTTTCTTGGCCTTGTCGATGAGCTCGTTGATATCGATACCATAGTATGCGCGCCTCGCCCTCCCTTCCTTCGTCTTAGATCTCGCAGCAACGATGTTCTCGTATGAAGTGTTGGTAGTCGGCTTTCGCTGCTTGATCGTCGTAGAGGCGCCGGTGCAGGTTGTTACTTTAAAGGTTCGCGCGCTCTTTAAAATCGACGGTGTAGAACTCAACAATGTAGATGCAAGGCTTCGAGGCGCTTTGGCGCGGGGAGGCTCTATTCTTGTAGGAGCGCTGTTGTTCTGTTTCGCGGGTGCCGGCGCTGATGGCTCGAGAATCTCTTCGTCAGGGGTGAGTGTAACAGGAGCTGGTCGTTGACTGCGAGATCCAAAGTCGAGGATTTGCTTTTTCAATGGTGGTTGCTGGGTATCATGGTCGGAATCGGAATCATCGTCAAGCAGAAATCCGCTCTTGACTTTCGGCTTGGATTTTGTCGGGTCGGCCGCTGCTGGGCGCGCGCGCTTCCCTGCGGGTGGTGAGGAGCTGGCAGGAAATGTGATGGGTGATGAAGCGCTCGGCATTTTGACTAGTTGTTGGGTTAGACGAGATCTGGTCCCAGGCTGTCTTCGTGGCGACGTCTAAGGCTGCTTCGACTTGCAATTGCAGAAAGTGTGTCGCTGCAGTGACAAGCTAGGTGGGTTGGGAGACGCGCGACGGGACGCGCTTCGTCCTGAACGCGTTGAGTGCGAGTGGGTCCGCCTGCATACTGTGCTAATTGAGTGAGATGAATTTAGCGCACTGTATCTTACAGACTGATGACGTGAAGGGATACTCAACGCAGCCTTGAAAGCAGTTGCTATGAGCCCAATTGATGTTTTGAAGACGATGTTTGAAATTAAATTTTGTACTAATGCGTTGCAATATTTCATATCAACTTGCATCATAGAGGCGTGACTGTAGATTACATTCCCCAAGTGAGAAATCCCACATGATCTCACAGCCGGCACCTCATGGCCCGTCAAATTCACAGCCAACACAAACAAATGCCGTACACTTTCTCTTATCCTTCATCCTACACTCTATCCAGACATATTTCAATTCTACCTCTCAGCAGCAGCTCCCATCTCCTTCAACAAGCCCCGGTACAGGTCAGCCTCTGCAACCATCTCCTCCATGCTCCTCGCCTTCCTCATCGCATCCTCAATCCTCGCAAACTTGCCCCCGGGCTCGGGTCTCTTCCCAATCTCAGCGTCCCACAGCGCACCCCCGATGTTACCCTCCTCGCTCGCCATTTGCTCGTAAATCTCATCCCTCGGCCCTGAGTCGTCCTTCGCTGTCTCGCCGGGTACGCGCGGGATAATGTGTACGTGAACATGTGAAACCGTCTGGCCCGCGTCCGCGCCGTCCTGCACGGCTATGTTGAAGGAGCCCGCCTCCGGGGCAGCCGGGGTGCCTGATGAGGAGGGGAAATAGCGGCGCGCAAGCATATTTTGCACGAGCTGCGTCGTGGTGAAGAGGTCTGTTACTTCCGCTGGCGGGAGGTCTGTGAGGCGCTTGTGAGGCTTGAAAGGGCAGATGAGGACGTGGCCTGGGAGCAAAGGCTTGAGGTTGACGAGGGCGAAGGAGTGAGCTGTCTTGTAGAAGACCTGTTTTGTGTTAGCCTTTGTTTCCGATGTTTCCGAATTGAGCTCGAGATAACGGTTTGAAGCAAATAGGTGACGATAGGTGGCAGCTGTTTTGAACTCCAATGGCAATGTGCGCGATCCAGACGCTCCGATGCCCATCTCATACTGCCATCCAATGACCGAGATCTTATGCGAGACTAACCTGCCCAGTGACCTCAAAGGGCCCGAAATGGATCTTTTCTTGGGAGCTCATTGTTCGTCGGGAAATACTAATGTGAGCTCTGGGTAAGTTGTAAAATGTTCTTGAGCTGAACATAGTCCTCTGTAAGTTGGTTGTGAGCTGCAGCTGGGTTGGGAGAGAGGACCCTCCGGAGATCGTCTGGTTTGGTGGAGTAACTTCAGCCAGGGAAATTGTTAGTGGCACACTCGAAGTGTGGTGGCGTCATCAACATGGATTCAACCGCCCGGCAGCAATTGAGTAGACATCTTTTATGGGACGCGTTGCGACCAGAGTTGAACTTATTTTTATTCCTGCCCCCGCCAGCATTGCATTTTGACCCTAACAGATCCCGGTTGCTATAAAAGTACATGATTACAGTATCCCGCCGAGGTTTACGATGGTATTTCCTATTGCGCCAGTACCTTCTCCTGAGCTCCAAACAGCTTCGTTTGTTGACCCGCAAAGAACTTCTTTGACTCAGCACAACGTTCGCTCTTGCACCCGGGGCAGCGAAGCTCCATCTGCGGTGAGCAGGAAATGCCGCTGTCAAGGTGAGCCTTGGCGATATCAGCCAGAGCCTTGATGAAGACAGGGCTGCCATTCAAACTCTCAACGCGCTTCACAGTCTCGGGGCTTCCTGAATCTCCGATAACCTCCAGGTCGAGCTCGTACAGAGTCTCAATGTGATCGGAGGTGAACGCAATAGGGATCAGGACCAGGTCTTTCTGGCCCTTGTGGATGTAGTTCTCGACCGAGTCAGAAGTCTGGGGGCCAAGCCATGCGGACGGGCCGACTTGAGACTGCCAGCACAGGCGGTAGGGGTTGGAGAACTTGAGGCGCTGCATGACAGCGTAGACGGTAGCCGCAACCTCGGCCGGGTACGGGTCTCCTCTGTTGACCACAGACATGGGCAGGCTGTGTGCTGAGAACAGCAAGACGACGTCCTTCCGCCTCTCCTCGGGATACTCCAGGAGCTTGGCCTCGATGTTTTGCGCGAACGCCTCCACCAGGCCCGGATGTACCGGCCACCTGTCAATAACACTCCATGAGATCGTACCATCACCCGGGGTCGCGTCTTTGGCTGACTTGCCCTCCAACCTTTGGCGCCACTTCCACAGCTCATTCATGCTGCTTCCCGTCGTCGAACACGAGTATTGGGGGTATTGTGTGAAGGCAACAGCTCTTCCGCCCTTTCCGTTTCCGAAACCATCATCCAGCAGCTTGTTGTACATCTCCTCGGTCAAAGGATCGGCATAGCGGAACGCAACGTAAGGCTTATGCGGCGCGGTCTCGGGAGAGATCTGGTCGAGGATCTTGCACATCTCGGCGCTCTGATACTCGGACCATTTGCGGATGGGGGAGCCGCCACCGATTTCTGCGTACTGCTTTTGAATCTTGGGGGTTCGTCGCTTCGAGATGAAAGGGCCGAGGTAGTTCTGGTAGCGTCCCAGAGGAATCAAGTCTCCGTCTGCCTGCGCATTGTCAGCGTACGAACCGTTTGGGGGTTCGTGGAGGGGCATACGAAGAGTCTGCTCAAGAAGTCGCCCACTTCGTCTGTCGTTGATGGGCCACCCATGTTCAGGAATACCATCGCCGTCGGGCCCTTGGATCCGGCGGAGTTTTGTGTGACGGGCGGAACGGTCGCCATAGATCTCAATTGAGGTGCTGATTGCTTTGGCAGAGCCAAAGCTAGAGGTGCGGCGCCATTGCGCGCTGAGGTCGTCGCCTTGGACAAACTCCTGGAGAGCTGTCCTGTTGAGTACTTGAACGCCATTGCTCTATAACGACGATGTACGAAAAAATAGTGTACAAAGAGGGAACACAGAAAACGGTCGGTGAGTGGTGATGGTTCAGAGTGGTCTAAGAAAACATAGCTGTGGCAATCGTGGACCCTGGCGATGTGTGGGCGATACTGGACGAGGCCATGTGGATTTCGGTTTCGATGACGAAGGAAATCCCGATCTGGACAGGAGCCCACCGAATGCCGAGCAGCATCCCTGCAAGACCGAGCTCATACAGCGATACTTCGCCATAAGCCTGCATTACTGCTACATTCCAGGTACCGGTTTAACCTGTCTCGGTTTCGGCCAATAGCACGCTGCGTAATCCGAAATATAGATCACGTGGTCGCGCGCTCGCACGCGGGTACCTGCGAGCTTCGCTAGAGAGGTCCGCGCCAGAACAGCTGCCCCTGTCGCGTCTGCTGCCTGGAGCTGCCTGTTGCGCTGAAGGGCCCAACCGAGTCCGCGACTACATGAAATAGCTGTCGCCCGCCGCGACCAACAACGCCAAGACTAACACCGACTCACACAGGTTCTCGCAATGGCTGATCGTGAAGACTTCAAGAGAGAGGAGGATGATGATGCGGAGGAGGAGCTCGATGAGACTGTACCAACGAACCCACATCTGAGCGCCATGACTTACAGCTGACCCCTCCCAGGACTACAAGGCGCAAAAGGACGCCGTCCTTCTGGCCATTGATGTGAGCTCGTCAATGCTGCAGCCGCCTCCAGCATCAAACTCCAAGAAGGCAGACAAGGACAGCGCCGTCCAGGCCGCGCTGAAATGCGCCTACCAACTCATGCAGCAGCGCATCATCTCCAACCCCAAGGACATGATGGGCATGCTCTTCTTCGGCACCGAAAAGTCCAAATTCCAGGAGGAAAGCGGTCGCAGTGGCCTGGGCTACCCCCACTGCTACCTCTTCACCGACCTAGACGTCCCCGCAGCAGAGGACGTCAAGGCGCTGAAGACGCTAGTGGGGGTCGACGGGGAGGAGGGAGAAGACGAAGATGAGGTATTGGTGCCAGCCAAGGAGAGTGTCCAGATGGCGAACGTATTCTTCTGCGCAAACCAGATTTTCACAACTAAGGCTGCGAATTTCGGAAGCAGGAGGTTGTTCATCATCACAGACAACGACAGTCCTCACGGTGATGACAAGGCGGCCAAGTCCGCTTCTGCCGTGCGCGCAAAGGATCTGTACGACCTCGGTGTCATCATCGAATTGTTCCCTATCACCAGGGACGACAAGAAGTTCGACCTCACTAAGTTCTACGATGTAAGCAGCCCACTTCCTTCTCGACTTCCCCGCCTAACAATTATAGGATATCATCTATCGTGACCAAACAGCAGAGGCAAATCTTTCAGAGATCCGCAACTCGAGATCAGGAGATGGAATCACCCTCCTCAACTCCCTCATCTCAAACATCAACTCGAAGGAAACCCCCAAGCGCTCCCTCTTCTCCAACCTCCCCTTCGAAATTGCTCCAGGGTTGCGCATCTCCGTCAAGGGCTACAACATCCTCCACCGCCAAACACCAGCCAGAACATCCTACATCTGGCTTGACGGCGAAAAGCCCCAGCTCGCCACAGGCGAAACAACTCGAATTGCAGAGGATAGTGCCCGCACAGTCGAGAAACCCGAGTTTAAGAAGGCCTACAAATTTGGCGGCGAGTACGTCCATTTCACCACCGAGGAGCAAAAGTCCCTCAAGGACTTTGGTACCCCTATCATCCGCATCATCGGCTTCAAGCCGCGCTCCATGCTTCCCTTTTGGGCCAGCGTCAAGAAGTCAACTTTCATCTTCCCCTCCGAGGAGGACTACGTCGGCTCGACCCGCGTCTTCACTGCTCTTTGGCAGAAGTTGCTCAAGTCCAAAAAGATTGGAGTCGCATGGGCCATCACCCGCGCCAACGCGAACCCGATTCTCGTTGCCATCATTCCCTCCCATGAGCAATCCGAAGACGACTCCACCACGCCCTACCTACCCGCAGGCCTCTGGCTTACACCTCTCCCGTTTGCTGATGACCTCCGCGACGGCCCTGAGCCACCCGCCGACCTCGTCCGCAGCACCAATGAGCTCACCGACCAAATGCGCGTCATCGTTCAACAGCTGCAGCTGCCGAAAGCCATGTACAACCCCAAGAAGTACCCGAATCCTTCGCTTCAGTGGCACTACAAGATTCTCCAGGTCCTCGCCCTCGAGGAGGAGTACCCCGAGAAAGCGGAAGATCTGACGGAGCCCAAGTACAAGGCCATCAGTAAGCGCGCCGGCGGATACCTCGAAGAGTGGGCTGAGACGCTGCAGGCGGAAGCCAAGAATGTGATGGCTAAGCAGGCTATCAAGCGGGATGCGGAAGACGATGACGATGGCAGGCCCGCAAAGAGGGCGAAGGCGGCGCCGAAGGCCAAAGTTTCTGGATCGGGGATGACCACGGCGCAGCTCAAGGCCGCTGCTGATTCAGACACTCTAGGCAAAATGCTTGTTGCTGACTTGAAGGACGTCCTTGCTGCGAGAGGCTTGAGCACGGCCGGAAAGAAGGCAGAACTTGTTGAGAGGCTTGAGGAGTGGATTGAGAGCAATGCTTGATGTGTCGAACGGATGGAATGGACTGTACTATATCAAACGGCGTTTTAGGCGCGTCTCGTATATGAAAAGGGGCTATCAAGACTTAGTATCGTTAGCCTAGCTACGGATCTTTCATTCTTTTACTTGCAGTTTACGATGTCCTTCCACATTGCATGTATACAAGTTTGGGTACAAGCTATGCGAATGTCCACCATCTTACCATCTGGGCAGCGTGCAGTACCATCCGACCCAGACATCGACCTCGACCTGCCCGTGATAGCTCCTTGATCTGTTCTTCAGGCTCGCTCTTCTTCTCTTCCGGACAATGCCGGAAAGGTCAGTCGGGCCCAGACTCAGGCTCATTCGACTATGGGAGAGCGGCAGGACAGACCGTGAGTTGGTCGGCGTTCCTTCGATTCGTTTGTTATCCTCGGCGCTGAATCACTCTTCAAATTCCCTCCTGAAATCGTCAATAGCTTCATTCCAAGCTAGCAGGACTTCCAGTCTCGATAGGAAGTCTTCAAGGGGCTGTGGGAGACAGACGGTAGCTGCCCTTCCGAGCTCTTGCCTGGGCAGGAAGCACCCCTTCCCCAGCAACCTATATAAGCCCCTTCCCTGCTACACCTTCCAACAATTCAGCAGACCTCGCCGGGCTGGGCACAAGCTGCCCTAGCTTACAAAACCTAAAAAAAGAGGCGATGGTCTAGCTGGTCAGCGAGTAGGTACCTCACGTTCAAAAAGAACGGGGACCAGTGCTCGTTCGCCTTGAGGCGCTCAGTTCGAGTCTGATTTGGTCGAAAGGCCCGGTGAAAAGTGAATTGAGGATTTTTTTTTTTTTTTGGCGTTCCGCGGTCGCTTTCGGCTAAGGTTGCCTCATTCTCTGTTCACCTGGACTTACGTTTTAGTTGTTTCCCTTCGTCCTCTGCTTTCCTTTCTTGCGCTGTCTCTGTAGAGGGGAAGCTAGGGAGTTGGTTTGATACAGGATAGATACGCTTACGGCTGGCGGTCTTAAGTCAGTCTGTACTCTAGTAGAAGAGATTGTGTTACTATTCTCATGATGATTGGGCTGATCGAGGTGTCGGTCCCAGTGCCGCGTCTGCGTGATAGTCAGGCCGCCAGATGTGGGAGGCACACAGAGGCCCCCACCCGAGCTCGTGCCTGTTGAAAGGCGCCCCTTCCCCATGGTCCTTTGCGAGGCCCTCCTCTTCCTAACTTCCCAACATTGAGGCAGACTGCAGAGCTCGGCAACCAACTTGTCAAAGCAAAGTTGGTGGGCCGATAGTCTCCATAGCTGGTCAGCCGGTGCTCCCCTATTCCGATAGGAATGGTGATTGCTCCGCTTGAAGGCGCTCAGTTTAATTCCGGAAAGCTGCCAAGAGCCTATGGTGAAAGGCTCCGGTTGAATGAGGACATTGAGTTTTGCCTTTTTCGACCATCGTAGTCTGGTTTGCATGTGCTACTCTGGCTGTGGATAGTTTAAGTGTCTTTCTGGCGTCTTCCTTCCCGCCCCTTCCTGACGCCCCTTCCCTACGGACGCCCTTTCCCCCTTCTCGTTCGTTCTTTCTAACTCACAGGTACCTTGTAGCTACTTAGCCGCTTGCCTTCTCAAGTCAGAAAAAGCAACTGCAACAATGCCAGTTGGTCAATAAGGAGTGTGGCCAACATCGTCCCGCCTTGCTCGCGTCAAGCGCTCAGTTCGAATCTGGAGGTTGATAAGCCCAGCGTAATTGAGTACAATCAATATTCCCTAAGGGCCCTCTCTTGTTTTCTTCTTACCTTCGGTGTCAATGGGTCTGGCAAAAGTCTCCCATTGTTCTCATGAACTTGCGTGAGCTCTGGGCAACTCAATACGCTGTTTTGCTCGTATAAAGGCAAACCGCGTCAGAGGGATACCATACGGCTCGTCACTTATCCCGGGAGTGCCCTTGTGCCACTCACTGGACACGAGTATGAGAAAACCACCGGGTTCGACAGGGTGGAAAGGAGACCAAAGATCGACCCTACGCTCCGCTTCGCTAGAGACCGCCAGGGGCTAGGAATTAGGAATGGAGATGTTTTCCGCGGAGATTGATTTAATTGTCATACCCGGGAAGTCTTCCTCCGTCGTCGCCGTGCGGGATCTAATGGCTGCAAAACTCAATAAGTACTTGTCCTCGCGCCGCTTAATCGAGACATCAACATCTATAAAACTGATACTTACTTAGGTCAAATGTTACCATTCTTCTATTTCCGCTAGAAGAAAATCTCGCGATCGTATGCAAAGACTCCCATAAAGTCCTCATCCAGGGGATATGTAAGAATTTAGCGTATTGTGCCTTATCTAACATGAGAGCACCTCCTCTGATGCTTAGACCAATTTGCCGCCTGCCTTCACTACCGTCAGCTCTTTCCACATTATTCAGTTGATGTATATTTTGGGTGTCAC